TTGAACGTTGGCGCGCGTGTCACGGTGGAGCCCCACGGGGATGCAGCGCGTGGGTGGTGCTCAGGAGGCTTTCCAGGACCGTCGGCACGTTGCGTAAATGTTGAGGAGAGACAATGTCTTAAAAGGGATTGAACGCCCGTTAAAAATCCCTTTTTTGATGTTTTTGTCAGTCTTGAGCCCGGCGTGTCGCGGGAATGAGACATGGTCTGGGGAGAGGAATCATCGGGATCGTTGTTCGGGATTTATCCCTGTGTGTTGTCCGATCCCATCCCAACATTTGCCTCGTCATTGCAGGCCCCAAGACATCATCGTGTTCATCATCGGAGGGGCGACTTACGAAGAGGCGCTGGCCGTCTATAACCTGAACCGCACCAACCCGGGGGTCCGCGTCGTCCTCGGCGGGACCCCACAACACCAGAAGGTAATAACCGGATCCCGTCCCGTGGCTTCCGCGCACGCGGAACTGCTGACGTCAGCCTGAATTTGCGTCGCCCGAGGGACCTTCTTGGCACAGTAAAACCCCAGAAATGTGTGTAAACGGCCCAAGCCCAGCTCTGCACGTTACGGCCGCGGGACGTATTCCCAAGCTGAAGGTTTATTGTGCGTTTTACTGGGTTCCAGGGCAGGGAAGCAGCTGTGTGTAGTTTTTCCTGCTGGAATATGAACGAGAAGCCGGTGCAGCACGCAGGAATCCAAACCTGACTGTGGGCTCGTTGCTCCCGTTGAAATCTGGAGCAGCTGCTTGTGATAGCGGTGAAGCCAACGTACCTATGATTAGAACCGAGTTCGCCGCCGCCCACGAGCCTGCTGAGCATTGGCTGGGGCTTTTCCATTTCTCCCTGGAAATTCTCTCCTCATTGGTTTGCTGTAAGCTCTGAGTTGCCTTTCCTGGGAGGACAGACATTTGTTGAGGGATTAATCCCTCCAGGGACCGAGCAGCGCCGGCCACGCGGAGCGTCACTGGTTTCCCGGGTCGCTGTCAGGGGGGGTTCCAGCAGCTGATTGCCGGAGCCAGAGGGGCTCGTGTCGGGAAATGCTGGCGGCATTTCCCATCCCCTGCGCTGAGCCGAGCGAGCCGTTCCGAAGGGTCTCAGTTGGGATTTAGAGTCTTGTGCAGAAAGAAACCAGCAACTGCTCTGCCGTGGCTGGCCAAAAATTCCTGTCGATACGGAACGCCTGGTTTATTTCCTATGGAAAGTCTGGTTTATAAATGCAAATCATGTTTCCTGAACCTTAAATTACGCACCTGAGTATCAGCACAGGTGAAAACGGAGACCATTGAGGATTGGGAGGGATTGTTGAGGATCATTGAGGATTGTTCCTCAGGATTGTTTCCCATCGGCATGGCTTGTTGCTATCCGAGTGAAGGAGCGTGAGTTCTTCCATCAGGGGCTTTTCTCCGCTCCACCGCCCCGTTCCGTCCCCGTTCGTAGTGACGGGGCCGGGAGCCGACCGGTTATCGGGTCGGAAGGAGGGTAACGGCAGGAATGTGACAGGTGACCCACGTCTCTCCCATGTGTCGCAGCAGGAAGTGTGCTGAAATGTAAGTCCTGGGAGAGTCCCTGGCGTTTTCCAGCAGCTGCTCTGAGCTCCAGGGGAGGACCCTGCTCTGAGCTGGGATGGAGGGAGAGCTCCGGCGTTGCCGTGTAGAAACGCGAACCAAGTACAGTCCTGCAGCAGGAAGGAAAAGTTAACGTTTCTCAACGTTTGGGGTGAAATTTTCGGAGGTGACAGCTTCAGGTGCCTCAGCAAACACAACGGCGTGTGTCAGAAATACAGCTGTCGAGCACTGCGCCGGTCTCAGTTACTGACAGGTGGGCTCAGAAATGGCTTGGTGTTTTGGATCTACGCGTGTGCTGCTGCTGCATCGGAGGCCAGTGTGATATTTATAAAATTCCTGCACTTTTCCTGCACTTTTGCCCTTCCTTTTCGTGCCTGGGAGGGGATCTTCAGGCTCCAGAGCTGCCTGTGCAGAAGCAGTGGCGAGTCTCTCGCTAGGAAATCCAGCGGGTGCTGTCACCACTCGCTCAGGGAAGATGCCCAAACCCTCCAAATTCACAGTGCCCGCTCTGAAATTGGGCCCCCCCTGCTTTAGCTTGGTGTCAGATGATTGGGAAGCTCCCGAGCTGATGCCAGCCCAGAAGCAAATTGCTTTTATGATCTGGGTTACAAAGGCAAGTCTGTATTAGCCCACATATCGACCGATCCCTGCCCAAATTACCCGGCTTCCTCAACCTTCTGCTTCACAAAGTAGCCTTTGAACTAAATCCTGTTTTAGCCAAGCCTGGAAACAGTCAGGGAAGGAGATCAGCGGGCACAGGAGCTGCTTTTTGACTGATAAAAAGAAAGGAGTTAAGGATATTAGGAAAAAATTTTTTACCATGAGAGTTGTAGAACAGTGGAACAGGTTGCCCAGAGAGGTGGTGGATGCTCCATCCCTGGAGACGTTCAAGGCCAGGTTGGATGAGGCCCTGAGCAACCTGATCTAGTTGGAGATGTCCCTGTTCCTTGCAGGGGGGTTGGACTAGATGACCTTTGAAGGTCCCTTCCAGCCCTAACGATTCTATGATTCTATGAAATTGTCATCTTGCAAGGACACAAAAAAAAACCCTGGTTGATATTCAGCCACTGGAACCCCTTAATCTACTGGTTTGAGGCTGACTTGACACCTGCCACCAGTATCAAACGTGGGTTTAGGCTCCTGTCCCAGTTCTGCTGCTGGCATGTGAGGTGGCGTTGGGCAACTTTCTCCTGGGTCTCTACGCACCAGAAGGTCTCTGAGCAGGGACCATCCCTCCCTTCTGTTGTAACGTTCAGGATTTGCAGCCGCGTCGTCGGGCTCCGCTTCTTCCATTTGCGCCGTAACAAGTAACGTTATCCCGCCGCCACGGCCGTTTGGCGCAGTCGCTGAATTATTTACTGAAAAAGGAGGATACTGTATCAAAATTTGCATTTCAAAGAATGAACTGGGGGGAAAAAAAAAAAAAAAGATTTAAAAAAAAAAAAAAATCCCAACAAAAAAAAAAAGGCTGTTGCTTTTTAAGGGCTGACTGCTACGAGGTCCTGCCTGGGAGCTCCGGGATGAGGAGTGTCGAGGGTCCCGTTCTAGAAACAGCTCTGCCCAAAATGATTTGCCTTTTCCCTCGTGGCTTCAGTAAGATTTCCTTAAGGATGAGAAGCCACGTTAATAATGATGATAAAAAATCAGAGCTTCTGAGGCAGGAATCTCACTTTTCAAGGGAAGACCGTGCTCAGCTCTGCACGCAGGGAAGCCGACTCGCTCGGGACACCTGAGAAACGAAGACGTTTCCCCTCCGCCGCGCGTCAACCGCAATTCCAGCCAAGTGCCTGAGGATCACAGACACCTCCCCAAACACCCCAAGGTGTCTCACGTGAGGAAACCCACGTTTGGTTGTGTCCTGCCTCCTCCAGTAAGCCTTTGGCCTTCCTTTCACGGAGCGTTGCCAATTTCTGCTGGATTAGGGTTGGCATGGCACAAAAAACACGGAGATTTGGGTATTAGTGCGCCGAGCGGCCCACGTAACACGGTAATCCGGGGCTTTCATTGTTCTTACCCGCCCGACGTAAATTGTGATCAACATCTGTCTTGCTGGGGTGGGGGTGGCTTCAGGGAGATCCGTTCTGCTTTTTTTTACGAAGCAGGAGGCACACACGCCTCTGGAGCTGGTTGTGTCCTCACAGCTGGATATTTGTGGGAAGCTGATCCGGTTAAGAGACCGTCTGCGTTGTCCTTGTTGTGCTTTAAAGTGGGGGGTGAAAAATACTCAGTGTGGGGATGGAAAATACTCAGTGTAGGGATGGAAATACTCAGTGTAGGGATGGAAAATAGGGATGGAAAATAGTGTAGGGATGAAAATACTCAGTGTATGGATGGAAAATAGTGTAGGGATGAAAATACTCAGTGTAGGGATGGAAAATACTCAGTATAGGGATGGAAAATAGTGTAGGGATGAAAATACTCAGTGTATGGATGGAAAATAGTGTAGGGATGAAAATACTCAGTGTAGGGATGGAAATACTCTGTAGGGATGAAAATACTCAGTATAGGGATGGAAAATTGTGTAGAGATGAAAATACTCAGTATAGGGATGGAAAATACTCAGTATAGGGATGGAAATACTCAGTGTAGGGATGAAAATACTCAGTATAGGGATGGAAAATAGTGTAGGGATGAAAATACTCAGTGTAGGGATGAAAATACTGTGTAGGGATGGAAAATACTCAGTATAGGGATGGAAAATAGTGTAGGGATGAAAATACTCAGTGTAGGGATGAAAATACTGTGTAGGGATGGAAAATACTCAGTATAGGGATGGAAATACTCAGTGTAGGGATGAAAATACTCAGTATAGGGATGGAAAATCATGTAGGGATGAAAATACTCAGTGTAGGGATGGAAAATACAACGTTCTGCGTTTGCAAAGAGGGTCCCACTCCTGTTGAAAGTTTCCTTGTGCTGCACAAGGAGAATCTCTCAAGTTAAGGAGAATCTGTCCCTGTTGATCTTTAGGGATTTGTAGCCCTATAGATGCAAAATAGGAGCAGGAATCTAATAACAGTGCTGACATCCTGAAATAAGGCATGTAGCCTAAGGGATTCCTTATCAATAAATCAGGCTACAGGAGCTGACAGGTTCTGCTCTTGGAATTTGTTCCCCTGTTTGAAAAATCCCCGTGGCTGTACAAGGTACAAGAAAATGTTTGTTTCTTGCCTTCCTTTACCCCTAACAGACAAATCCAGGTAGTGCATCTGTTCCTCGGCCTCTTTCCCGACGTGACCCACGGGCAGGTCGGTCAGTGACGGCGTTGGGAACGCGGCTTCCGTCTCCCCTTCCCGGCTGCGACCAGGGGTTGTGACAAAAAACCGCATCGAAGCCGCGGAGGTGCTGCAAAATCAAGTGCTGAAAGCCAGAGAAACGCAGAAATCCAGGGATGAGAACATCTCTCTGGTGGTGCATGCTCAGTTTTGCTGTGGATCCCATCTCAGTTTACGGAATTCTTCCCTTTTTTTGCCTCCGTTCCCGTTGACAGGCGAGCCTCGCGCCGTTGAGTCTGGGAGGGCAGACGGAGGTGGTGAAGGCTTTGAGAAACACCAGCAGGGTGGAAAAAAAAATCTGTTGTTGTCAAGGAATTCTCAGTGTTTTTCTAATCAAACCAGATCAGCTGCCTCTTACTGTTGGGATTTCGGCAGCTAAAAGGCTGAGGATTATTAATCATAGATTCTTTAAAAAATACATATGCAAAACGTATTTAAATTATGTTTCTAGGGAGATTTCTTTCGTGACTTGGTGCCATTTCTCAAAGGACCGTAGCAACATCTGTAATTCCCTGCGGGAACCAGGTAAATTTGGGCCAAACTGGAGGGGTTTCAGCTGCTCTCCAATCATAGAATCATAGAATGGTCAGGGCTGGAAGGGACCTTCAAAGGTCATCTAGTCCAACCCCCCTGCAAGGAACAGGGACATCTCCAACTAGATCAGGTTGCTCAGGGCCTCGTCCAACCTGGCCTTGAACGTCTCCAGGGATGGAGCATCCACCACCTCTCTGGGCAACCTGTTCCAGTGTTCTACAACTCTCATGGTAAAAAATTTTTTCCTAATATCCAATCTGAATCTACCTCCCTCTATTTTAAAACCATTACCCCTTGTCCTATAAATTCTATGTTCTCCAAAACACTTCCAAGTTCTTTGTGGAGGGTTGTGTGCTCGTACCGGAATGCAGAAGATGTGTCGGGCGTCGGGGCAGGGGGAGAGAAGCAAAGAACGGCACAACCGGGCTTCGAGTTGGAGAAGTCGGAGCAGCCGGGGCGGCTGACGGCCTCCTGACTGTTCCCCTTCTCCGGGCTGACGGATGGAAGGTGGCTCTGGCTTCCCCCTCTTCCTGGAGAAACTCAAAGTGATGGAGCTGATCCCGTGCTGCTGGCATTACCCCCAGTCCCACGGACAGCCAGCTCCCTTCTTTTCCTGCGCAGGCAAGTGGATCTGGAGGAAATCTGGCTGAGCTGGGAGGAGAACGGGTTAAAAAATGATCAATAATCAGCTAAAAATGGAAGACCGGGACCAGGAGGAACATCTGGTGCGTGAGGCTGACTCGCCCAGGGCACAGGGTAAGCACAAACCTGCTGTGACTAATCCACGGGGTGTCTGTCCTGACCCACTTACCGGTCACGGCCACAGCCCGGTTGTGCCGAACGCGGCCGCGGTGTGCGGAGCCGGCGGCGCCCGG